AACCCAAAACAAAAAAAACAAACAAGCAAAGAAACACCAAAAAAGGTAGTTTTGTTCTACTGCTTCTGTTTTCTCTTTGAAACAAAGAATGACAAAGCTAACATGGCTGGAGACAGTTTTGATCCCATTCTCCCTTCATAGCCCATCTCTAACCCACCCAACTATCTCTTGTTTTTAAATGGTGACAACGTTCATTTGGGTACTATCAGTGAAGGGTAAGGGAGGAACTGGCTCTGCAGAGTGAACTTGGGAACAAAAAAGAGGAGGAATAAAAGCAAAAATACAAGTGCTGGAGGACAGTCTGGAGGGTGCACCACTGTGAGGGAAAGCCATGGTGGCCATCCATCCAATTCTACTGAATCTGTATCCAAAATATATTTTAATTCATCCATTTTTACGCCTCCATAGCCACCACCTGAGTCTAGACTACCATCACCTTGTTGTTTTTTTTTAGAGGGCACCCCACTAATTTGCTCAGGCTGGTCTTGAACTCATGGGCTCAAGTGATCCTCCTGTTTCAGCCTTCTAAACAGCTTGAATTACAGACACATGCCACCATACCTCCCTTACACCAGCTGTGCTAGGACTATTGCAATACGTTCCTACCTTCCTAAGTCCCAGGCAAACTCAGGCAGCTCAGCAGCACATTGCTTCCAGAGCTTAGTCCTCTTCAGCAACAAGAGTGGACTTTGGTAAATAAAAACCAAAAAGCAGATTTTTACAAGAGAGTGGTCTCATGTAAAAACAAATCAGACCATATTACAGCCCTGCTTAAAACCCGAGTAGGTTATTGCTGCGCTTAGAATAAAAGCCATTCCCCACAGCCCATCTGCCCAGCCCGGTCTCCCGTTACCTCATCTCCACCATCTACTACAATCCCGCGCTCACTCATGCTGGCTTCTCGGCTCCCCAAACACATCAAGGTCTTTCAACCTCAAGACCTCTGCACCTGGAATTCCTTTTTCATAGAACGGGCTTGATTTTATTCTTATCAGGCATGGTTCCCTCACAACGAGGTTGACAATTTTATCCCAGCTGGTTTGAAACTTCCACAGATTTAGCACTGAAGGACCCATATATTTTTTTTTTCACTTAAAATTTTTGTACTGGAGATTGAGCCCAAGGCCTTTGTTATCGAGCTGCATCTCCAGTGCCTTTTAAAAATTTTTTATATTGAGACAGGGTCTTGCTAAATTGCTCAGGAAGGGCTCAAATTTGTAATCATCCTGCCCCAGCCTTTGAGAGTGCTGGGATCACAAGTGTCCAGCACCATGTCCAGCTTGAATGTCCCATATTCTAGGAACCTCCTCAATCCCAAGAAAACACAGGCAGTTCATTACCCCATTCTTTTTTCTTTTTGAGACTGGGAGGGGGGGGGTGTCTCACCATATCCAGGCTGGTCTCGAACTCATGGCAGCCCTCCTGCCTCAGCCTCCCAAGTGCTAGGATTATAGGCGTGCACCACTATGCCTGGCTCCATCACCCCATTCTTAACTAAAAGTATCTCCTGCTGTGGAGACTTGGGCCACTTTTCATTGCTAAATTATCTTGTCTGTTACAACAGATATTTGCAATTTGGCTACTCAGCATTCCATTTTAGTAAGGAGGCAGCCTTACCTCCCGAAAAGGGGGCAGATATTCCCTATTTCACTCCCTTATAGCCAACTAGCTACTTCTGCTCAGAAATTTGAACCTTGAGGAATCAAACAAAGGCATAAAGCAGGCGGAGTTTTTCCAGGGCTGTTGCAGCACAGTGAGAACATAGCAGGTGGCAGCGAGTAGCCCTAGCGCCAGAGTCCAGCAGTACGACAGGCGCAGCAGCGGCAGCGCAGTGTCCCACCCGCGGGCAGCGGCACCCTGAGCTCCCTATGGTAAGAATATTTTGGCTGGGCCTTCACTTGGCTTCTATTCTCCTAGTGATGCTCTGATTTCTTCAGTACGCTCCATGAAATCTCTGCTACTCGAGGTAACTAGAATTAATTTACATCGTTGTAATCACGAATTTTAACTAGATTAACTTGATTTTTAAAAAAATGCCTGGGATATAGCTCAGCAGCACAGTGCCTGCCTGGTAAGCATAAGGTCCTGAGTTCGATTCCCGGTACCCCCCCAAAAAATATATTATCAAAAAAATTTTTAAGGTTTTTTTGTGCCTTAGGGATATAAACTCTAGTTTGTGTTGTTCACTGCTGTAGCACCAGGGCCTAGCAGAATACCTGACCTCCCTTTTTTACACACCAGGTCTCGCTATACTGCTAGGCTGGACTTGAACTTGCAATTCTCCTGTCTCAGCCTCCTGAATACCTAGGATTACAGGTATGGGCCACCATGCCCAGCTTTTGAGCCTGATACTTAGCATGATACTTAGCAGGTCCTTAATAAAATAAAATAAAATTTCTTTTGAGACAGGGTCTCACTAAGTCACTAAGTTACCCAGGCTGGCTTCAAACTCATAATCTTCCTGCCTCAGTCTCACAGAGTGCTGAGAGTACACTGACCTGACTAATAAGTACTGTATTGTTTTGTTTTGTGTTTTTGTCTTTTCAATAAAGAGTCTCACTATGCAGTTCAGGCTGGTCTGGGACTCACTTTATAGCCCAGGCTAGCCTCAAACTTGCAAGGATTCTCTTGCCTCAGCCTTCGGAGTGCTGGGATTACAGGCATGTGACACCATGCCCGGCTCTAGTACTGTATTTGTTAAATGAATGAATGAGAAATCATCAATCTCCAAAGAATTCACTGCTTTATAAGTGAATCTCTTAAAAAAAAAAAAAAAAAAGAAAAAAGAAAAAAGAAAGGAGAAAGGAAGAAAGAGATAAGCCAGTGTCAGGCATGGTGGCACACATCTGTAATGCCAGCACTTGGGAGTCTGAGGCAGGAAGATTGTCGTGAATTTAAGGCCAGGCTGAACATAGTGAGTTCAAGGACAGCTTGAACCACATAGCAAGACCCTGTCTCAAACAAACAAACAAAAACATGAGCCCATAAAGGTCTTAATTTTTTTTTTTTTTTTTTTTTGAGACAGGGTCTCAGGATGTAGCTCAGGGGCCGGGGATATAGCTCAGCAGCATAAGTGTCTGCCTGGCAAGCACAAGGTCCTGAGTTCGATTCTCAGTACCCCCCTGTAGTGGACTGATAACTAGTGGTCAACTTATAACCCCCAGCTGAACTGAGTAAGTGTGGTGCTGGGTGTAGGAGGCCCACCTGAGGACTGTTGCCAGCAGGATAAGAGGCAGACCTAGAGAAGAAGAAGGAGGTTGCTGGGAGCCGAGAAGCTGTTGGGAGCCAGTAGAAGCTGTGGGGAGCTGTTGGTTGTTTTGGAGGAGCTCATCATGCTGGCTTTCCAGATGAACTTGGCTGTTTTCATCCTCTGAGGAGCTTGGGACCTTGTTGGTACTGAGAATGGCTTCGGTTCACTTTGGGGGAGCTCTGGTCCTCACTTTGAGCATCGCCTCCTGGCTCTGGAGGAGAAGATGGTGCATTGCCGGCCTCCCGGAAAAGCTTGCTGCGTTGGCTTCCCTGATGGGAACTGGGCCATCCTGATCATTGGAGGACCTCGGGAGCTCACTGTTGCTGAGGACAGCTGTGGTACCTTTTTGGGGGAGCTCTGGTTCTTCTGAGCATCACTTCCTGGCTCCAGTGCAGATCCCTCAGCCTGCTAACACAGATCCTTCATCCTGCTGGCACAGACTTTCTAGATTCCACCACTGACCTTCGGGCCTTCCCAGCACAGATTCATGAAACAGGCCTGTGTGAGACATTGTTATGGGCTCTGGGCTTCCAGCTGGATTCATGGGAGGCATCGTTATGGGCTCTATTCAGCTGAGCTCATGTAGGACATTATTTCGGGATCTAGGCCCTCAGCTGGATTCCTGGTCTACAGTGTGTGGACAGATTTCCTGCACGCTCTTAGGTATATCATTCTTTGGGTGACTGTTATAAATAATCTTATAAAATACATGTCCTGTATTGTATTGTCCACCCCCCTGCCCCAAAAAAACACATCAGGCTGGCCTTGAACTCACAGTCCTCCTGCCTCAGCTTTCTAAGTACTGGGATTACAGGCATGCACCACCAAGCCCAGGTTTAATAATTTCTTTTCTTTTCTTTTTTTTTTTTTTTAAATTTAACTCAGGACCTCGAACTTGCCACACAGGTGCTTGTGCTGCTGAGCTATGTCCCGGGCCCAAGGTTTAATAATTTCTAAAGATCAAAAGAATAAATACCTAATAAACCCATACCAATCTTCCATGTGGAAAAAACAAAACCTGAGGGCAGTCTATTTTAAATCCGTTTCCTATACCAGTGGTACTAAACCTCCAGCACTCGTGCTGCAGAGGATGTTTGTATCACTGAAAGCTCTAAAAGGTTCACCATCACTCCCTATACTATACACTGTATATTACACAATTCAGAATGGTTTTTGGGGCGGGGGGTTAGACAGGGTCTTGCTATGTTGTTCAGGCTTCCCTCAAATGTTCGGCAGTCTTCCTGCCTCAGCCTCCCAAGTGCTGGGATTACAGGTGTACACCACCATGCCCAGCACTCATGACTTCTTAATCTAGTATTTAGTACAGTGGTTGCAACCTATTAGACACATAATGTTGTTTATTCAAGACTGAAAGCCAGATAGCTGGACGTGATGGCGCTTGCTTGTAAGTAATCCCAGCACTCAGGAGGCTGAGGCAGGGGGATTGCTGTGGCTTCGAGGCCAACTTGAGCTAGGTAGTGAGTTCAAGGCCTGCCTGAACTACATAGCGAGACCCTGTCTCCAAAAACATCCAAGTTAGTGAGAAGGAGATTATTATTTCTATTTCATAGAAAATGCTAGACTAGACTCAAAAGGGTCACACAGTCAAGGCCATAGTCACTTAGAGCCTGATCTGGCTATAACTAAGCAAACCCATTTAGAAAAGCAAAGGAGGTAAGATGTAAAAATGAAAACGGATTTACCCAGACAAAACGCTTAGGTTTGCAGAATCACCAAGGAATCTGCCCAGCACGGGAGATCTAGGGAAATCTCAACAGATGGCAAAGAAGAGTTTTGTTCCAGGAGCAGGTGTAAAATCTTCCTCTGATTGGACCTAAAACTGGGTCCTGAGCCAGAGCTTCCCCCTCTGTCTTATGGATAGGAAGAGCTCAGTACACGTGGTCTCCGCGTCCTCACCAAGGAAAAAAGCCTGAGGAGAACAGCCCAGGCCGTTTGGCTTCGCCCGTCTCCACCTTTCTGAGCCAAGCAGGTGGCCCCCAGGAGGGGCGGCCCCAGGACCGAGTCACAATCAGGCTGGAAGTGCACTCGCGCTTCCCCGAGCGGCTTGGCCTCTCCCCTGGCGCCCGAACTCATCCTGGAGCAACTTCCAGACCTCAAAGGTGGACTGCAGAGAAGACTTTCATTTGTTCGGAGCCCCAGGGCCTGACACAGCTGGCTGGAAGAAATCAAGTCTTGTAATTGGCAGCGATCCCCATCGAACCTCCGGTCACTACGGCGACACGCGGTCTCGGGGCTTCCGTGGTGGAGACTGCTGCGGACTTGCCTCATAAATTTGGAGTTAGCCTTCAGAAGAAAGGAAAGTGGGGAGCCACTGAACGCAAGCCAATGAAAAGAAACCTGAGAAAAGAGGCAGTTACCAAGACTACAATTCTGCTTCTCGTTTGAAAGGGTAGGCGAGGGCCATGCCCGTCACTTCTCCGGAGAGCTGACCGAAGTACAACGCCACCAGCCTCTGACCATTCAAACCTTCCGCTCTCCGGACAACCTATCCCCGCCCGCCTGTGGGTTACGTAGCCAATCGCCGCGCACGCCCCGCGGTTCCATGGCCAATCGGTAGGCTTGTACTCCGCCCCGGGAAAAATGCATTTGCTCTAAAAGGGGCACCACTTGTTCCGCCCCCGGAGCCAAAGTAGGATGGCGATTGGCCTACCAGAGGTAAGCCCTGCCCCCGGAAGCCTAACGCCCCATTGGCTCCCCCCTGGCCAATCGCCACGCCCTTCCCGTCCTGTCTATTCCTTCAGCCCCACCAACCCCGGGAGATTTAAATTGCACCTCTCTGGTGATGACCGTTTGCTAGGATAACACCAGGAGAGATTCTTTTGAGTGGCAGTGTTTCTTTTTCCTTGCTTCATCTTCGTGTCGTTTCTCTCTAATTTTGCTAGGCTTCGGCCAGGATGGAGGATTTGCCGCCAGCGGTTCAGGCGTCGGTGCGTGACAGGTGTGTGAGCTTACGCTGAGTGGCATCGCCTTTCCCGGAGGTTTCCTGCTCATTGTCCTTTCAGTGTGCAGCGCCTCCGAGATGCTGTTATACGGGTAAAAAACTACTTTTTCAGGAACAGTAGAGGAGTTGAATCACCTCTTTGAGTATTTCTTTTTTGAGATTCTGGGGGTTGAAACCCACTAGAGAGCTCAACTCAAGCCCTCCTTTTTTATTTTCCGACAAGAGTTTCGCAACATTAGCCAGGCTGGTCTTGAACTTGTGATTCTCCAGCCTCAGCCTCTCGAATAGCTGGGCTTACAGGCATGCGCCACGCCCAGCATCTTAATGTAATTCTTCCCAAGGTCCAGAGGATCTCAAACTTTAGCTGTGTGTGGAAATTATTTTGTAGTTTTGCAGTACAGCAGTGGGAACTCAACACCGGGCCAAGGACATGTAAGACAAGTGCTGTATCACTAAGCTACAGCCTCAGCCCTAGTCTTTTTTTGTTTTTGTTTTTTGTTTTATTGAGACAGGGTCTCACTATGCTGTCCAGCTGGCCTCAAACTCCAAACTCTTGGAGATCCTCCTGCCTCAGCCTCCCGAGTGCTGGAACTACAGGCATGTGCCACTATGTCTGGCTAACCCTAGAAATTCTTAATGTCAGACACTAGCTTTTAAATAATCCTGTGAGAGCTAGGCATTGCTGGGCACACCCGGGATCCCAGCACTCTGGGAGGCTGAGGCAAAGGAACAAGTTTGAGCCCAGCTTGGGCAACTTAGTGATTTAGTGAAACTCTATCTCAAAATAGGGGCTGGGGATATAGCTTAGCGGCACAGCCCCTGCCTGGCAAGAGCGAGGTTGTGAGTTCAATTTCTGATACCAAAAAAAAAAAAGGATACTCAAAATAGGGAATAAAAAGCAGCTTCAGAGTGTGAAGACTCTGGGTTCAATCTCCAGTACTGGAAAAATAAATAAATTAGTCCTGTGAGGGTCATGGTGAGTGTAGATGAGAAAAAACTGGCTATGAACTGATATGATCGAGTCAAGACCCACACAGAACCAGACCAGAACTTCTGACACCAGAGCAGCCTTTATTCAGGGAAGCGACATGGTGGGCTGCCGAGCAGACTAGAACAGCCCTGAGCTGAGCAAAGCATGAGGTTCTTAAGCTGTCTTTCTGGGAGGGTGTCCTCGGGCCAGAACATTTTCTGGAAGTGGGTATCCGTGGGTCAGATCAGCCCGAGCCCGGTGGGTTGTTCATAAGGGTTGAACGTCTGGTTCTGCCAAGGTGCATGAGGGTGAGGTTGGCTTTTGTTGAGGGGAACTAGAAAGGAACAGGTGAAGAGGAAGCAGTTTTTATTAACTCCGTAATAAAAGAGCTTAAATCTCTCACAGGGGGTGGGGCGGTTTGCCTTGTGACTTATCATGAAGTTGGACAATGGGTGGGTGTAGGATGTCATGTGCAGGCTGGGGTCTATTTCACTGGTAGAGCACTTGCCTGGCCTGCAGGAGGTCCTGAGTTCAATCTCCAAAACCATAAAAAATTTGATTTGCATAGTAACCACTTGGAGATATTGTTACAATACAGGTTCTGATTCAATAACTCTGTGTTTTGGCCAAGGTTCTGCATTTCTGAAAAGTTCCCAGCTGATGTCATGCCTCTCTTCCCCTCCTCTTCTTTTTTTAAGATAGGGTCTCACAAAGATGGACATGGTGGTGCACACCTGTAATCCCAGCATGTGGGGGAGGCTGAGGCAGGAGGATCACTGCAAGTTTGAGGCCATCCAGGGCTACATAGTGAGTTCAAGGCCAACCTGAACTACATAGCAAGACCCTGTCTCAAACAGAACAAAACAACAGAACAAGGCAAAAAAAGATAGTCTATGTTGCCCAGGCCCCTGCCTCAGCCTCCTGAGTAGCTGGGATTATAGGTGCATGAACTGGTCCAGTTTGTTATACTCTTTACTTCAGTGTATATCTGACAGTTTTCATAATTAAAAAATGTTTAAAGTAGCCAAGTATGGTGGCACATGCCTGTAATCCCAGGCAGGAGGATCACACCTGAATGACCTAGTAGTCAGTTGAGTGATCTGTCTCCAGTCAGGGGGGTCTGGGGACGTGTCCTGGTGTAAAGGTCCCAGGTTCAACCCTTTCTACTAGAATTAAAAAAAAAAAAAGTTTAAAATATCTTTGGAAGCCTTTTAAAATGCAGACTCCTAAAATTGATTCAATGGGTCTAAACTGAGGCCCAGAATTATCAAGGCCACCAGGTACTACCCATACCAATGGACTGCAGACCACACTCTGACACGTCAGAAATACAGCCTTTCTCTGAAGCCAGCATCTTGTTGGTGACAGTGGCTGAGAGGTGCACTGCAGTCAGTGGGTGTTTATCCTAATACCCTTTTAATCTGTAGAGATTGCTTCCCCAGAAAGGACGTGTGCGAAGAGTCTTTGTCCTCTGGGGCAGAGACGGTAAATGTGGGAGTCAGCACAGAGGCTTGTCATGGCAGGTAAGCTTGGAAGTCAGGCTGAAGATGAAGGGATGTGACAGGGTTGATCGCTGTTTGATGACTACAATCACTCTTCATGGGGTGCTGTATACGTCCCTGCAGGTGGGTCGTAGAGACAGATGAAGCGGTCCTGCAGCGGCGGCAAAAGCAGATAGATTATGGCAAATGTACACCTGGTTACCAGTGCTTTCTGCAGCAGGTCCCCAAGTGAGTGCATTTTGGGATGGTCACGTGTGCTGACCAAGTGGCTCTGGTCAATGTCCGGTGATGGAAAGATACTAGAATCTGAGTGCTCTGAAACAGTAGCATTATTAATTCTCTCATAATCTAGTCCCCAAAATAAGTTTTGGAGATTTTCTCAAGTGAAAAAGTTATACTTTGCCCATGAAATTGTTCAAAGTTCTACCTATAGTTCCTGATGAGGCTATTTTCTTCCCAAACTTATTTCCCATAGCCTCATGCTTTCTTAGTTAATTGTGACATACTTTCTTAGCTGTCTTAGTTAATTGCAACATATTTGATTAATTATATGTAAGTTTACATACATACATGCAAAATAAATGTATGAAAGACTAGCATGTATTGTAAAAGTATATCAAATACTATATATTGACTTCTGAAGGTGGTGTAATGTAACGAATTTACCCTTTCCAGAAGAAAGACTATTAAGGAAGTGGAAAATTTGGAATATAAATCTGATTTGAAGAGTCACTTTTTCTGTTGATCTTCTAGGTGAATCCCTATTTTAAGTGCCTGATTCACTGTGATAAGCAGTTAACATTGTCCCTTTGCTTTGACTTCACTGTGACCTATATTTATTGTTGCTAGAGCACAGCGACAGCCAGGGCTTCACCCTCAGACACCGAACAAGAACAGGAGGTACAGCCGTCGTTCCTGGGATGCGCAAATCAGGCAGTGGAGAAGAGCCCTACATACTTGGGACCCCCCCAGCCAGCCTCTTCAGGGCAAAGGAGCTGAAGGGTGTGTTTAGCATTCCTGGTTCCTTCTGTGAGTGGTGACTGAGTCCTACCACTCCCGACTTGGTGGAGATTTGGCTTTTACTGAGTGCATATATGCTGTCTGACCCTGCTGCCTCTCTAGGCAGGGCAAGGAGAGTCTCTTGGAGCCCATGGATTCTCCCTCTTTGGATGACCTCCTGGATGACTGGTTCCAGGCCCTGGAACCCTCAGAGAATCTGGATGGAGGCCAAAAGGGGGCCGAGGTAGTATTCTCTGCTGAAAGCTGTCAGAACAGGGTCATAGGTGGGGTCTGACTCACTAGGTCACAATTAAGGTGGCATTCAAAGAAGTGGCTCAAGAACAAAAGAATAAAGAGGCAACAGCAGGAAAAAGTAGCAGGACATGAGTTTTAAAAATTGAGAGTGCAAAGTGGCAAAAGGATAGTTAATTATGGTCAGGAGTGCTGGGCTGCATCTTGCGGCTTTATTTTTGTCGGTACTGGAGATTACATCTAGGGCCTCACACATGGTAGCAAGCACTCTAGCACTGAGCTACATCCCAGGCCCTTTTATTTCTTAAGGCCTCGCCAAATCACTTAGGCTGGCTTCTAACTTGTGATCTCCCTCAGCCTACCGAAGAGCTGAGATGATAGACATGCACCATGGCTCTGGGCAGAGGCTAGTTTATTTTTTTTTATTGTATGTTTGCAATACATAATAATTAATTCATCTTAGAAAACTGGTACATAGGTATACACATCAAATCTTGATCATTTTTACTCTGTTTCACCCACAGAGGTTCCCTTCCCAGCTCCACGAGGTCTACCTCCCTGTGTCCTACCACCTCTTTTTTCTCATTAAATTATTTATATTTTGGATTTCTCATATATGAAAAACCATGTCATATTTAACCTTCCCTTTCTGATTTATTTCATTTAGAATTATGGTCTCAAGATCTATCCATTTTCCCACAAATGTGTTAAATTTATCCTTCTTTATGGCTGAATAGTACTCCGTTGTGTGTACATATACCACTCCTTCTTTATCTATTCATCTGAGAAACTATTTTGTTTGTTTGGTTTTTTTTTCTTCGTTTTTTTCCGGTACCAGGAATGGAACTCACAACCTTGCACTCCAGGCAAGCGCTGTGCCGCTGAGCTAAACCCCAGTCCCGAGAAACTATTTCAGTCTTTTTTTTTTTTTGGCACTAGGAATCAAACTCAGGACCTTGCACTTGCCAGGCAGGCTCTTGTGTCACTGAGCTATATCCCTGGCCCACTATTTTAGTCTTGATGAAAGGAAATACAACTTTCCTTTGAAATGAGTCCTGAAACCTGACTTGCAGTGTTTTTAAAAATTTTTCAGGTTTTTGGAGATTTTGTAAGTGTCTCTTTCTTCTGTTGTTTTACAACTGAGCCACTGCCAACTTAACTTCAACTATTTAACTTTAGAAAGTATGATTAGTAATAAAAGGGAGGCAGCTGAGTGTGGAAAGCAAGAGCCGTACAGTCTCAGCCTTTTTGATATAAACTTTGCCTATCAAATAAGCAGGCATTTAACCTCCTAGGCAGTTTTAGTTAGCAAATAAGGAGGTAGTTTTCATTTGATTATGGGCAAAAATAAGTATATTAAAAAAGGATATATATTTGAAATATGCAGCACAATCCCTGGCACATAATAAGTACAATTAAACTTTAATTGGGGTGGTGAGCCTATGGCCAAGTGTGCTGCAGCAGGCTGTTTGTACCACTGAAAGCTCTAAAAGGTTCGCTCTCACTGAAAAGGAAATCATGTCACCTACACATCACGGCCCCTGGCTCTGATTTTTCTGTTTGCTAAGAGGAAACTGCAGTGAAAAATAAATCTTCACTCCCATTTTCTTTTTGAGATAGGTCTCACTATGTAGTGCAGGCAGGCCTGGAACTCTCGGTGATCCTCCTGCCTCAGCCTCCAGAGTGTTGGAATTACAGTCATACATCACCACACCGGGCCCATTTTCCTGATTAATATCTTACTTTTCCTTTCTCTTTCAGTTTGCAGGCTTGGTGGCTCCAATTTCCTGCCCTCTCAGGCTCAGTGAGGAAGACAGCGATTCACCTGCCCCAGACTTGGACAGAACAGAAAACATTTAGAGAAAATATGTCTTTCAGGGGACTTGCTGCTACATGTGACAGTGAAGTCACTTGTGTTAATATTTTTGGAACAATAAGGGAGAAAGAAAAAAAGAAAGCTAAAACTCTGCCTCACAAAGAGATCACAACATGCAGGCATTGCTTAAAACCTCTCCTTTTTCTTTCTTTGTTCTTTTTTGTTTGTTTCGCTGATGGTGAGACTCGTGTTCACAGAAGAGCCAAAAACCGCCTAATTTCTTCATCAACTGAAGTCTACATTTCTTCTCTTTAAAAAGAACTAGAACTCTGGCTGAGGTGGGAGGTGATGGTAGTGGTGAAGACTTAATAAAAAGGTGGTTTCCTCTTCCAGAAGAGGAAATATAGTGCCGTCAACATCGTTTGTCCATCTGCCTTTTTCCTCCCTTCCTTTCCGTCTTAAGTGGTCCATCTGTAACCACCGTACCCCCCCCCACCCGGCGCAAGCAACTCAACCGTCTATGATGTCATAATCACAATCCCATTACCTCATCCTGCTGAGGGGGTGGAGGGAGGAGAGGGAGTGCACAGTCTTTGGCCCTTTCAGCGTTACAAAGTGTTTTGGGTGAGGGCAAATTACAGAACCAAGTGGGCACGCCCCCGTAACCGTTGTAAGTCTTGGGTTTATAAGGTTCGAGCAAATCTGGCAGCCAAAGCGAGGAGTCCAGGGACTCAGAGCAGGCCCTAATCGGCGCTTGGACTACATTTCCCAGGAGCCTTCACGCCTCGGACCGGTCCTTTGTTGGAGGCGGGGGGGGGTTTCTTTCAGAAAGGTGGCCGTGTCGCGCCGAACAGGAGAGCAGGTGAGAGGCGCAGTGCCTGATTCTATTAAGCGGCCTCGACGGAGTAAGAAGTTGCAGCTGGGTCGATGTAGGTATGAAGGGCGGGGACAGTGGCTTTGTTTACCTTCCTCCGACATGGCCTCCCCCGCGAGTTCCAAGATATGCCTCTAACTGGGCCCATCCACTTTCTGCGCTGATTTGGAGGGGTGACTCGTTAGGGGCGGAACCACTCCGTCCCTAAACCAAAGCACCTCACGCGATCCCGACCAAGCTAGATTAGGAAGACTTTAAGAGACAAACGCCATAGGGCTTGGGCCTCAGTGGGCGGTTTACGGGGATTCTGCGAGCCGGAGAAATCCCCCTACTCTCCTCAGCGGCCCGTTGGTTTGTCCCGACGCCTTTTAAGGGCGCCGTGGGGTGAACCGAACGCTCAGAGCTGCTCCGGCCGCGGCCCTGGGAGCTGAGGGAACCACGGTAGGTGGCGGAGGGCAGGTGGCGTTCGGGCCTGGGGCGGGCGTCTCGACTGTCCCTCCCTTCTCTTTCCCCTCCCCCAGCTCCGCCGCCCGCGCGGCCAGGCCGCGGAGGCCCCCTCGGCGGGGAGAGCGCGGGACCCGGTGGGGGAGGGGGTGGCGGAGTGCTAAGTCCCAGACCCTCCCCATCCCCTGCGTCCTGAGTTCGCTTCCCGCGGCCCTCTCATGGAGCTGGAGTGGGAAGAGGCGAGCGACAGTCCCCCTGAGCCAGCCCTGGTACCCCCCGGGGGGGCAGCGGAAGCCCCGTGCCCCACCCCGCGGGCACAGGCGGCAGGGCAACCGAGGGAGGGATTGAGAATTGGAGGGGGCCTCGCCGTTCGCTTCTTCATCGGCGGGGGGAGGGGTGCTCGCCACTTGTCAGCCCTGGCCCCGCCGGAGCCTGTACGGAGGCAGGGCATTCGGTTCCCCACTCACCTGCGCTGGAACCTCGCTGCCTCCTTCATGTTTTCCTTCCGTCTCTCCCAGAGGTCTGGGGCTGGGGCCCGGGTAAGGTCCCTGGGGGGCTTGTGGCGCTCCGCTCCCTGGGCCTGACTTGATCCCAGGTTAGCCAGGTTTCAGCACAGCCTCGGCGTCCCTGAAACACGGGTGTGAGGGCTACCGCCCTCCGACGGGAGAGGGAGAGGGGTCCCGTCTGTTTCGGGGCTCCTGCTGGCGAGAGAGCTGGGACTGAGCGCCGGGCCTGGCGGGGCTGCCGGGAGGGCGCAGCGGCCTGCTGCTCTCGCCAGCGTGAGCCCCGTGCCAGTTGTTCAGCGGAGAAGTTGTAACTTGTGCAGTGAATGTTCAGGGCCGTCTCTGACCCTCAGATACACAAAATGGAAGGGGAAGGAAGGCGGCCAGAGAGGGCTTCTCACACTTTTTTCGGTGCCTGGTTGAGAAAGAGGAGGCCCCTCGCAGAGCTGGTTTGCCTTCTTTTGTGTCCTGGTTTGGTTCCTTATGGCTTCCGTTCTGTTCCCCCCTCTGTCTGGCCTGTTTTAGGAAACTCGGGCTGAGAGTATCAGTTGCGTGGTGGTAGTTGCATTGTTCCAATTACCGCTGTGTGTGGCCACATCCCAACAATTAAAATGCAGAAAAACACAAAATCACGCTCTTGGCTTGATCCTAGAGAGGGCTGGGTGTTTGCTATTTGTCCAAATGCCTCATGGAAGGCTTAAAAGAGTTTGTTTCACTCCTTGCTCCTCATGGCTGGGCAGCCTGAGGCCTGGGGTCTCCAGAGTAAAAGCCTGCAGTTAGGTTCCCTCTCTGGTTCGTCTTTGAGGGCAGAGTTAAGGAACCAGGAGAAGAAGTGATACAAACTTCAGCTTGTCCCACAGAAACATAGGTGAAGCAGCTCATAGGAGCTCTCAGGAAGCTGGAACTTTGTTCAGGGTGGTAGTAATAATTATGCGTGAAAACGGTGGTTAATTATAATGATGATTGACTTCTGCACCTTTCTTCCAAAGGACTACAAGTGCATCCAAGTGTATTTCTCTTCCCTACTGTGTGGCTTCCATCTGAGGTGGAACTAGGATAGAGATAATTCCCTCTGTATTGTAGAGGGTGATCTGCCCCCAAGGTCAGAAAGGAAGAGCCATCCCAGGCTCCCTTTCCTTGGAGAGTAGGTGAGGGAGGGTGGCATTCAGCCAGGAAGAGGGAGCCAGTTGTCTTCATAGTGATATCATTGTTTCTGGGATGCTGAGGCTTTGGAGAACTACAAACAGGAGGGATGAGAAGCAGCAGTCAGTGCGTACTCTTGACATTTACAGTCCAGTTGGTGTGCTTTTGTACACTGAGACTTCATAGTCATTCTTGTGACATTAAGATTACTGCGCCCATTTTACATACCGGTAAACTAAGGATTGTTAAGCAATTAACCAAAACTGTCTTAGCAAATTGAATTAAGACTTCATTTTCTTGATTGATCATTCTACTAGCTGATGCTACATAAACTTTCTGGTGAGCTATCTGCCTGCGAGTAATTTCTGGAAATAGGTAGAACAAAGTCAAGACACTATGTTAACTTTCCCTTTGTCCTCCAGCAAGGCCCCTAAGGCAACTATGTGGGCTTTGAAGTCCATTCTCTGATAAGAGTTAGTTTACTGCTATCAGAAAGTGACTAAGAGAAAGATTTTTTTCGAGACAGGGTCTTGCTAAGAAGTCCAGGGTGGCCTTGAATTCACAATGTAGCTCAGGCTAGTCTCAAACTTTCAACTCTCCTGCTTCAGACTTTTGAATGCTGGGGAGAAAGAATCTTGATGTTATATCTGTGCTCTTTTTGTCAAATCAGGCTAATACCTTAGTTGAGTGAAGTCATAGAGTTGTTTTTAGTATCTGTAGAGTTGAAATGTAATCAGAATTATACTGGCCATTTCTTTATTTTCTTGGTTTTTTCCTCTCTCGGTACTGGGGATTCAGCCCAGGGCCTTCACATCAAACTACATCCCCAGCCCTCTTTTTAATTTAATTTATACTTTAATTAAATTAATTAATTATTTTTTTTTTTGAGACACGGTCTTGCTGTATAGTTCAGGCTGCCCCTGAACTCACTATATAGCCCAGGCTGGCCTCAAACTCCTGGCAGTCCTCCTACCTCAGCCTCCTGAGTGCTGGGATTATAGGCATGTGCCATCCCACTCAGCTATTTTATTTGATTTTTAAAATTTATTTTGGTACTGGGAATTGAACCCAGGACCTTGCACTTGCAGGCAGGTGGTTATGCCACTGAGCTATATACCCAGCCTGCTATTTCATTTTTTGAGATAGGATCTCACTTATGTAGTTCAGTCTGGCTTTTGGTTCACTGTGTAGCCCAGGCTGGCCTCAAATTCAAGGTGGTTCTCCTGCCTCAGCTTTCTGAGTGCTGGGCTTACAGGTGTGTGCCACCACATCCAGCTCAAACAGGTGACATTTGTTAGATGCCTATGTATTTTTTTCTTGCAGTGCTAAGGATCAAACCCTAGACCCTACACATGCTAGACAAATGCTCTACCACTGAGCTACCCCTCAGCTCCCCTTTTTTTTAATTTTTGATTTTGAGAGTTTCTCACTGAGTTGCCCAGGTTGGTCCTGAATGAGTGATTCTCCTGCCTCAGCCTCCCAGAGTGCTAGGATTATAGGTTTGTGTCACCAAGCCCAGTTTCTTCTCATTTTATAGGAGAATAGTCATAATACTTACTGAAAAATAATTGTGTATCAGCGGTTTAGGCTATAGGAGGACATAAAATCCTATTTGGTCTGGTTGATTGCTTGGTTTGTTTTGAGACAAGGTCTCACTATATAGTCCAGGTTGGCCATGAACTCATGTGATCCTTGTGCCTCAGCCTCTCAAGTGCAGGGATTGCAGGTGTGCACCACCACACGTAGCTGATGCAGGTCTTTCTGATGTAGAAAGACCTGCCTATAACCATTACTCCTCCCTGTACTGTTTCTGTAGTTTAGAAGAAGAATACCTCTTGGCTTCTACCTAAAAGATAAAGAAAGTGTCAGGCCAGTCAGGATGGAAAAAACTATTTGGGCATCTCTCTCTCTCTCTGTCTCTCTCTGTCTCTCTCTCTAGCTGTTTTCTAAGTAGTGCTGGTATTTCAGGTGGAAAGCAGAGCATGAGCCAAGTTAGGAGTAAATAGGTTTCACATTGCTTGCCAAGTGCAGTTTAGTTTACTGGATATCTGGAGTGCCAAGATCAGAATGTTTTTGAGGCTGTATTGAGGTGTAGCAGGAAAGAGCTGTGATCAATTAATGGTGTCTGCCAGAGGCATGGCATAGGGGTGCTGTGGTATGTGTGCCATACATTTTCCATCTTCAGACTAGGTACATTTCTAATGTCACTTGGGGCTGGTTCCTCTGTAATTGGCAGACTCAGCAGGCATGACTGGAGAGGGAAGTCCCAATGGTGCTAGAATGGTGCTGCAGTGGCAGAAGACGGCTCACGAGTGAGGTCTGGAAGAACAACAGGGAAGACATCCATCATTTGCTCCAAAGTGTGCAAGTCAGATCCCGGGGAGAATCATGATAACTCTGATCACTGAGCAGCTACAGAAGCAGACTCTGGATGAGCTGAAATGCACACGCTTCAGCATCAGTCTGGTAAAAGACCAGTCTTCCTGCTTCTCCATGACCCCTTCCCCCTTTTTTCTGAGGCTGTTTGTTGCTACTATTTTACCCTTGTCCTGTGTTGTATGAATCATTGTACTTACACTGGAAGAGCCCACTAAAGGCTCACAACCCAGCCCAAAAGGAAGGGGGCAGGGATTTTTCCAATGATAGAGAAGGGATGTCAAAACTTGGGTGGAGAAGGGTTTGAGGAATTGAAAGATATGGATTGTTTTACTCACTAACTTTGGGAAGACAATAGGAGAACACTTAGGAGACTTTAACACCCTTGGAACCCATGAATTGCAGAGAAAAATTGGAGAGGGCTTTCTAGAAATCTGTCAGTGTGTCCTGAACCTGAATCATGATGGATATTCTCTCTCTCTCTCTTAGCCTTTGCCTGATCATGCAGACATCTCCAACTGTGGGAACCCTTTCCAGCTTGTGTCTGGTAAGGTATTGTGTGTGTATCACGTACGTGTGTTTGCTCGTGTCCCTGTATGTACATTTCTCACATTGACTATCAGTGGCCAGAATTAGCTGGCCTAGCTCTAGAATGTTTTTTTTTTTTTGTCTTTTTGAGACAGGGTCTCACTATGCAGTTCAGACTGGCCTTCAACTCACTATGTAGTCCAGGCTGGCCTTGAACTGCCAGTGATCCGCCTACCTCAGCCTCCCGAGTGCTGGGATTACAGGTGTGTCCCACCACACCTGGCTTTAGCTCTACAAGGTTCTTGCCAGAGGATCACATTCTAAGATCACATTTGTTTCCATTTTACTGTCCCAGCATATATTATATTGTTTGCTTTTATTTGAATTTATGGGGACTTTTCTAATCGAGTTGTTTTGAATAGGTAATACATTTATGTGGTTCAGAAATTTTAAAGTAGCAACAAAAATATTATGCTGTAAAAGTCTTCTGCCCTATCTACTGAGCTCTTGCTGCCTCCTAAAAGTAACTGCTGGATCTGGGGCCCAGTGGCAGAGTGCTGCCTTGCATATATGAGAACCCTGGGTTTGAACCCTGCTCTCAAAAAATAAAAAAGTAACGCCTGTTACTTATTTTTTGTATATCCAACCCTAATTTCCTTATAGAAACAGAAATACATTTATTCTTATTTCAACTCTTCTAATATAGAAGGTTATATATTGTGTCATTCTGTGTCTTTATTTTTTTGATTGTTTGTTTGGTTTTGTACCAGGAATCGATCCTTTATTTTTTTGAGACAAGGTTAATTCAGGGTGGCCTAGAATTCTCTATGTAGCTTAAACTGACCTTGAACTCATAGTGATCCTCCTGCCTCAGCCTCCTAAATGCTGGGATTATAGGTGTGCACTACCACACCCAAACTATGCCTTTAAAAGAAAAACAATGCAG